CTTGTGTTTGGAATTACCTTTTCCTAAAAACCACAGGGTGGGGAACATGATGCTGTTATCTTCCTCTGAGAATTGAATTTCTAATATTATTCTTCACCAGAAAAAGCTATTCCCTATTTTTATCTCCTGCCTTTTTCTGCCGTTGTTGACAAAGCTCTCCGTCAAGCCGAGTCCACAAGCCGCTCGGTGAATTGGGATCCAAACGTGAAGTGAGCCCTAACAAACTCGGCCATTGAGACGCTCTTCTTAAAATGCTGAGCCTCAGCAGCACATCCGGGCAGAGCCCTGCCAGGGAAAGCAGGTCCTGCTGCCAAGGAAAGCAAAAAGAGACCACAAATTGCTACCAAACCCCTCCGAAATGTTCTCATCTATCCAACAGCTCTGAAAAGATAAACTTCCCCAAGCCCTAGGGATCCAAAGGATTGCACTCAAAATTTTCACAGGATACTAAAGGGGAAAAAATAAGGCAGGAATGAAGATACAAGTGTCTCACTTCCTTGCATCTTACCTGGCTGTCAGCTTTCTTCTTTTAATTCGTCTTCATTTAAGATGATTCTCGATTAGAACTACATGCCGTTGAGTGAGTGCCATGAGGCTCGAGGTCTTCATTCATGTCCAGGTTAGAAACAACAAAGACCCAATATCAAAGCCAAAGGCTAGTTCAGCCGGGTGGGGCTCAGCGGTGGAGCATTGACCTAGGATCCAGGGGACTGCGGTTCGATTCCCAGTGGGGGGCATGCAGGAGGCAGCCGATCAATGACTCTCTCATCATTGATATTTCTACCTCTCTCTCCCCCTCTCCCTTCCTCTCTCTGAAATCAATAATGATATATTAAAAAAAAAAAAAAGTCAAAGGCTATACCTGATGAGTTGATGACCCCATCAACAATTCCTAGTGCAAATGTAGAAATCCATGGGCTTTGAGACACACAGTGTGGTCCTGGTTGTATTCTCTCACCTTGTTCTCCCAGCTTCATTGATTTTCTACTTATCTATCATTTATTCATCGGTAAAAATTTATAGAGTGCTTACTGTGTGCCAGGGACTGAAGTATTAAAGGTGGAAAAAATAGGTGGCCGTGCGCCATGGGAGTCCATTTCCAGGCTCACATCACACCACTCTCCTCCTCACACTTTCCTTGCAGCCTTCCTGGTTTCTAGAAGCTCCTCACATATGCCAGGAGTGCCCCTTCCTGGCATCTCTGCACGTGCTCTTCTCTCTGTCTGGAATGACTGCTCTCCAACTAGCAGTCAACTCCTTCTCAACTCAGCCATCATTTCCTGGGGGATGTGAACCTCCTACCTCAGCCCTTCCAGATTAAAACGGTTTCCCCTGCTGTACAGTCTCACAGCGTATTGTCATTTCCTTCCCAGTGCTTATCAGGATTTCTAATTATGCACGTATTGCTGGGATTATAAAACTGAGGGCAAGCACCAAGCCTATTTTTTCCACCTTTAATACTTCAGTCCTTGGCACACAGTAAGCACTCTATAAATTTTTGCTGATGAATAAATGATAGACAAGTAGAAAATCAATGAAATCACAATTCTTGATTGAACTCGGGATGGAAGAGATTCTTTTTACTAATATTCTGATATGGAAAGTAAATGTAGAATGCCCATTAAGTTTTGAGTAGGTGGTACATTTCACATCATAGGAATTCTTAACTCCCAAAGAACTAGAAAGATTCATAGTCAAACCCTATACCTACAAGTCCAGAGGACAATGTGTATTATGCCAGAAAGGAGAGAAGGAGAAGGTAAGATGACTGCAAATTTTGTACTTGTCTAGCTGAGCCTGGTCATTTTTAATAAGTCCAGCTGGTACACAACCCCCAACACACACACACACACACACGGGAAATGTATTTTAAAAATCACACTGGCACCTTGTCTCAGAAATACATCATGATAACTCCCACTTACATAATCCCATTGCTTCTTGCTCTCAGCCTACTTGGTTCTTTAAAACCATAAGCCCATTTCTTCCTGCCCATATTAGCAACCCCACTCCATGAAATACCAAACTTATTGCCATATGCTTGGAACTCAACAGCATTCTAAAACTTCTCTTCCTCTCTCCATCCCTCATAAGGCTTCACATAACTGGTTTCTTTATCTCCAGTCTCCTTGTCCAATAACAACCACCACCATAATCATGGCCCGCATTTATAGAGTGCAGTGGGTCAGACACTGTTCTACATATTTAACTCAAGTATGCATTATCTCACAGAATCCTCAGATCATTTCACTCCCATTTACAGATGAGGCAACTGCAGGAGAGAGACTGAGCGTCATGCTCAAGGTCACAGTGTGTAATAACAGAGCTGGGATTTGAGCTCAGGCTGGGTCTTCTAAGCACTGCCTCTGTCTAGCACTGTCAACCTGATGGGCTTTTCTAGAATTCCACTTCTATCCTTTAACTCTCCTGGAGACATCAAAATGAGTTTGATGTCTGTAATAAGAAGCCAAAGTATTAATCCTAGCATTTGAGACCCACCACCAAGTGGCCTCACCTTGACTGGCCTTGCTTTGATTGGCCAACCTGACCTGTTATTATAATAAAGGGTTCATCTTGGGAAAGAACTGGTCCTTCTCCAAGCCACCCCCCTCCATGCTTAATCTTACGTACTTTTCAAAGTCTTTCTGTACTTAACAATATCCTACTTCCTTCCCATCCACCACTCCAAAGACTGAATTGAATTTCTAACTACCCTATGAATGACAAGTTAACTGAAAACGTTGGCCTACTTGGATTGTCCCTTCCTCTCAATTCCTGTTGGAGTTTATGTAAGAGAATACAGTGTGAGTTGCCTACTCAGTTATTCTTGAAAGTCTACTTAATGTGTAAACCTGGCCGCTCCTAAGGAAAGTAAAAGTCTTGCCATGCGATGAAAAAAAGTGAAAATAGCTGGGTTAAGCCGTATGGATTTGGGGGCTGAGTGAAAGGAGTTGGATGTGACTTACAGAAAGCCCCAAGAAAGCCTGACAAAAAGGGAAAGTACCAGAAATTCTCTTCTGGCTCAGGGAACTATACAAGGACAGAGATGGAGACGCAGACTGGAAGACAAACGTGTCCTGACCTCCAGTCTTGGGGCTAAAGTTTTTGAAGTCAAAGTTCTCTGATAGGTTGTGGAAGAATAGGTTGTAAGTCCATGGGAGGTGAATGTCTCCCGGGTTTCCTGTGCTGACCCTAGGCTCTCTGCCCTCATGAGCTCCAGAAAAAATCCAAGAAGTCCCCAGAGGCCCCTGAGGGGAAAGAGGAGGTCATTGAGAGTCTGGCTGGGTAGCTGCCAGAGAAGGTCATCACTGTGGCAATGAGGCTGAGTGACCCAAACCACGGTCAAAGAGATGTCTCCCCCCACATCTCGAGAGTACTGGTGCCAACCAGAGTGAGGAGAAGCCAAGTCAGGGAGGACCACTGGGCCCCAGGGAAGCAGAGAGAACACAGCACAAGTTACAGTGGTTACAGACCCCAGCACCCAATGTCCATGTCAGCAAAATGCCCAGTAATGGGGAAGACTCATCACACATCCAGGAACCAGCAAGAACTTCATCCCAGTGCTTAACCTCACATAAGCCTCCGTGGAACCGTCTTGGAGAGGAAGACACTGGTGAGGAGAGCAGGACAGAAAAGATAAAGATGTACGTCCCCCAAAAAGAGAATGTTACTGAAAAGGCCACTTCAGGGACTGGACTGGTTTGAGTTCATTTTTTATGTCCATTATCCAGTGGGAGCGGGGGGC